ATAATTAAACTTGTACAGATTTTAATCTATTATATTCAATTGCTATAAAATTATTCTATCAGTTTTCTAGTATTTAACATAATATCTAATTAACACTAGGATCGGCTTAGTGCCAACGGAGAGCCGTTAGAGTCTTCTCTGTTGTCAAGTTTAGGATTCAAATCATCTGCCTAAATGCTCGGTATGCGAAGATTGTGGGGAGGGGTGTAAGAGGGTAAAATAAACTTAGAAGAGTAACAAATATGACTTGGTGAGGGCTCAGACTAATATGAAATGTTTCAGAATTTAGAGGGTACTAATGCAAATTTCTACACTTAAAGGGTGGCTGTGCCCCTATTTTCTCATCTCCTGAATTGCTAGCTATTATGTACCATTAGGGTTGTAATCGAGTTGAGTCGAGCCCGAGTATCACCATACTCGAGCTAGACTCGACATGCAAGAAGGGTGCTCGAACTCGAGCGAGTACTATTATTGGAGCTCGAGCTCAAGCTCGATGCTTGCTTGCAAAACTCGAGCTCGAGTCAATACGAGCCTTATTGAGTTCGATCGAGCTCGAGTTAGAAATTTTTATTTTCTTGGCAATTTTTGAGCGAAAATACATTATTGCCCTTTAAAATTTTTTATATGACTTGAAACATTTTGTAAATTCAACAACTCTTTTGGGTATAAGGGTAATTTTATAATAATAATATATTAAATAATTAAAATTAAAAACTCGATAAGGCTCAACGAGCCTTCGAACAATGCTTCTGGATGCTCGAACTCGACTCGTTTATGTTATCGAGGCGCTCGAGCTCGACTCGAACTCGGTCAAACCGAGTTCGAGTCAAACTTTTGACTGAGCTGCTCGCGAGCTACTCCTTATGTACCATACGGCCCATACGTATAAACTGACTGCTGTGGGAGACTGGCGACATGAATAGCCTTTTCGCATATTATTTAACTGCTAGATTTTAATTGAGCTTGTTTATTTTTCTAAACTACCTAAAAAGTCCCTAAACTTTTTTATCCTCACTTTTGACCACTCGTCTATTCAAAGTCTCAAATTGACCCCTTGATGATAGAAAAGTGCAAAAAATTGGTCCTTCAGTCTATTTACATAGTTAGATTTGTCAAAATTTTGCCTTAAATCCATCAACTTTAATGTTAGACATGAACGGAAGAACCAAGAATTGATGCTTGTTATTATCAAGGGGCTGACTTTGGGACTTTTTTTTTTTTTTTTTTTTTTTGGGTAGGGATGCCATCCCCTAATTTATTTATATCGAAAAAAGAAATACAGCGAATTAGAGGGGACCAAACCTGACCTCTGTTGAAGTAAAAAAGAAAGACAGTTATGGATCAAACATATAAAAGAACCAATATGATTCAAACACATAACAGATCAATCGAACGAAATCATCCACATGAGGGTGCCCCACATTTGTGGGATTGTGAGCGAGCATGGAAATTTGGTTTAACATCTTGACGTGTTTGCATTGTTTTACCTTTTTTTGAGATTTGCTTCCTCGTTTTCTTTGATATCACTTGGGTAAATTGCTCGAGAACTAGTTTCTGGTCATGATATTTGTCGTTATCATGTTGTGAATCATCCTTTCTCTCTTCATTTTTGTTATCATTGTATTTTGTACTTGAATGAAGAAAAGGTTTTAGATGAACGAGAGGAATCTTACCATGTAATTTCTCCCATTGAAACTCTTCGAACACATCTTTAAACTGTGGCACATCTTCAAACCGGGACTTTTCCGTTTCTGTTCTTGTACTTGTCCCCATAAGGGGTGTGTCTCCAACTAATACCACATTATGTGGATCATGACTTTTGTCTACCTTCTCAAGTGCATCGTTTCCCACTTTAGACATAATTTGCTTACGTTGCTGTGAAGAGTCGCTAGTATCCATCGCCTTCTCTTTCGATGCAGCCTTTGTGAATGTTCTATTAGCTGGTGAATGGCCATCCTCAGACTCCGAATCAGTGAATTCCCCCTCATCAAGTTGGTTCGTAGCTTGGGGCTTTACCGAACGCATCTCTTCAGTTTCCCGAAACACTTGATCAGCCAACTTATGAATGATTTCACCTGCGGTAGAAACAATGGTCTCCTCTACTAACGCAGCGACAGACAACCGAGGCTGCTGGGGTTGGGGCGAGGGGGGCGCCGCTGTATGCTCAACCCGTAACTCGCCCTCTTCCTGCGCGCTTTCTTCCTCTAAGGCATTACCCCCAGGTCGCTGCACCTCCGGCGTCAGAGTAAGAGCCCCAGGCCTCTCCGTGGAAGTCACCGCATCTCCCATAGTTATCTTGTCCGACACCTCACTGCCGTTTGTCTCCTCGATAGCTGCTGTCGTACCCTCCTTGTTGCTCGTAGCAGTGGGTTTCAGCCCATGAGTTCCGGCCCCCTTTGCTGGTTTGAGCGCAGGGTTCTTCCTAAAGCATTCCGCTTCCGCGTGGCCGGCGCGCTGGCAAAAGGAACAGAATGCAGGCCAGCTCTCGTAGTCGACTTGCTACCAGTGCCCATAGGTGTCGTCTCCTATCCATATACGCTTAACAGGTTCCATGGCCAAATCTACTTCAACCAGAACCCGAGCCACCGACGGCCGCTTGAAGGAGGAAGTCGCGGAATCTGCTTGCAAGGGGCGACCCAACAGCGACCCCAGTTTCATCAGGTACTTCATAGTGAAGAGTGGTAAGAGAAGGCCCGGGAAGCAGACCCATACAGGTGCTATGGAGGAGTCTTTGTTGGACTTGAAATCTAGCGTCCATTTAGAAACAGTCATTGGAGAGTTGTGAATGAACCAGGTCCGCCGCACAAAGAGCCGTGTGTAGTCCTCCTCTGTTGAAGGTTGAATCAGCACGTGGTTCGCATCCAATAATCCCACCGAGCACTCCCCTTCAGACCAAGGGTCACAAAGAACTTCCTAATCATCTCCATGGATGGGCGGCGCAGGGCAAAACGCCCCACCAGTGCGTTCTTGAAAGGCTCCGCCAGCAACGACAGTTCGCTTCTGGACAGGAGCAGCGCCGGCTCGCCGCGATATGCACCCAGCCCACCTAGGTCTGGGCCCGTCAACGCGCTGCATGGGTTCCCCACCACTGCGGCAAAGGATTTTGCCGGCACGGTGCCCGTGCTGGCACCAATGTTCGGCGGCCAAGCGGCCGCCATGGCAGACTACCCTAGAAACTTTCGGGATAGATAACAAGATAAAGTGTAGATATGAAGGATTGCCGGCTGACTTTGGGACTTGAAATAGATGAGGAACTAAAACTTGACAAAGTAAATTTTAGGGGCTCCCTAAGTAGTTTAGTGTTTACTTTTAAAACATAACTCTTTTTTAATAGAGTCTTAAACAAATCATAAATCACACCGGTCCAAAATTTTTCTGAAATTGAAATTGATTTTCATGGTTACCAATTTCTAGTCTCAGTGCCCTTGGTTCTACCTATATGGTCAGTATGTAAACCAGCACAATTTATACAAAAAGGACAAGCTAGATTCTTTCCTGTAGTTGTCAGTGTTGCCTAGTTTGTGATTTAGAAGACCAATAATATTTGCTTGATATTTAGGCTTTTCCATTAGAGATGGCCAATAATGTCCATTAAAGTATGTAACTCAAACTTCATCAGACTTGATGCAACTTCAGATATCAATACATTCCAAACTTAAATCAGAAATAATATGCCTTTTTTGTATCAAGACTTCTTCAGTTCAAGTTGGCACTGGTTAGAAATAGAATTCCTCCCAGGCCAGAAACTTGAGTATGATGAATCACCGTTGTGTAGCTTTAGAAACTTGAGATTAGTTTGTTTGATTGGTTTACAAGATCACTGCATATATGTATCAGCTGTTAATCAGCCAAGCTTCAGTTGAGTACAGATCAATTTGATCGCGAGCTTCAGGCTAAAAAGCCTAGTTTTCTGACTAGGCAAAAGGGAAAACAGGACAAGAAAATTTCAGTTGTAAGAAAGTTCTTGAGAAGGCATAATCAGAAAGCGAATTTCACTCCCAAACAGGACCATGATTTTGGGCACATTTGCATATAAATAAGTCATCCGACAATACTTTATGGAAACATCAATCAACAACAATATCAGTAACTAGAAACAACTCCCAAATCAAAATGCAGTTATTTGCAAAGTAAACAAACCAATCTGTATCATTTGTCGATATTTATAACCAAAAAAAATAAAGAAAGAAGAAGAAAAAGACAAGGAAACCCTTTTAAGCTTTTCTTGAGCACAACTTGGAAACATCTCAGGCTTGTATATATCTCATTCAGAGCTCAGGGACCATCTGATGGCCTCCAATATATATAAAAACCAAGCATTAGCCACGAATCATTTATCCCTGCAAAGTATGCATGGAAAAAATTAACACTTCCCAATTAGACATTGAGATTCAATGGAACTTGTTAAAGAAAAAGAAAAAGAAAAGGACGTGCTTTTGAATTACACTAGTACTTGGCTTAATACTAGTATGAAGAATTCTAGTCTTCCGTCAATAAATGGTAATGAAGCTCAACAAAAAAGTCGAAAAGTGAAGAGATCGCCTGATATATATACCTAACACTGCATCAACAACGCTGAAAAGTAATTGAAGCAATGTGTTTGATTTTATCAAAATCCTTGCCTTCTCGACCATCTATAACTTTAATTCTATCAACAAAATACGAGGCATGCCAAAAATAATCACTTCTTTGAGGCTTGCAACATCTTCCAATCCTTCTGGAATCATTTCCAACATTTGGCATCTAGAAATCTGTAGAGAAGAAAGATTAGGCATTGCACCTTTCTCCACTCTCCAGCTACGTAAACTGAACAAGTCAGAAATTCTGAGATGTCGAAGTTGAGGAAAGCCCCATTCATGACAGATAAAATGTTTTCCTCTGCAAGACTCAATATCAAATGCGAGATATTGTAATTGAGGAAGTTTTTCTAGTGATTCCATTGGATCTTCATCAATTCGAGTATACTCTAATGCCGACTTGACCAAGCCTGGGTGGAGCTGCTATTCATATCGGGGAAACTTGCTTAAATGATGTAGGTTTTCGAATGCCAACAGACTTCTCAGGAGGATAGACCCCTGTTCTGACTCAATGGATAAAACGCCACTCAGGGTAAGTGATATCTCCGGCAAATTTTTCCCACTTATGTTCATGTAGTTCATGATAGCGCAAAGGCCCTCATTATTAGTAACAGCCACATCAAGTACTCGAAGATTCGGTAGTTCATAAAGATCAGCAATTTCATCTCTATCACTTAGGAATCCTTCAAGTCTCTCCAACTCACTCAAGCCATATAGTCGAACTTTTTCTTTTACTTCAATGCCTGCACTTGTAGGAAGATATAAATGCCTCAAACTTTTCATCTTTCCAAGAACATTTGGCATTTCTATCACGTTAAATGCATACAGAAAGACATTTGGCATCTTCGACAAGTAGCTTACCCGTAGATCAAGAGTTTGGAGGAATGGTAATTCGGTTATTGATGATGGAAGACCACTTAAGTCGAAATTGCAGCCTCTAAAACACAAAAGCCTTAAATGGATGAGTTTCTCTAGACCTGTGGCTAAATCTTGCCCTTCAAAATCATACTTATCAAACTTCAGCACTCTAAGCGATTTGAAGGTCTTGTAATTAACATTTAACCCTTCAGCCCAGATGATTTTCTTTCTCGAACACCAAGCACCATCACTATTGCGAAAAAGAAGACAACAAAGTTGTTTAAAATCCTCCACAATAGCGTTAGCATTAACGGGGGTTTCAACATTAGTATTTATGTGGACGACTAATCTGTAGACATCATTATTGGTGTGAGAAACGGAATCCAGCAAGGGCTTCTCGACACCCCGAAGATCTATGACCTCAGAAAATTCTTCTTCTCTTCCTTTCTTTAAACAAAAATCTCGCATCACATCATGAAGATGAAGGCGACACGAGGTTGAAAATCCATTGACTTGCATTTGAACCATAGATCTTTGCCCTAATTCAACCAAATACCTCTCTGCAACATTGAGTAATGTTTCCCCATTTCTTCGGTGTTCCGACAAGACCATGCCTTCTGCAATCCATAGTAGGTGTAGTTCTTTGGCATCTAAGTACTCATCCTCCAGAAAGGTGCCCAAATAGAGGAAGCATGGTTTCAAATAGCTCATATTTTTTTTTCAACCTAAATAACAAAATAATCATCATTGAGAACTATTTCACTATCCAGTTATTCATCAATCAATCAGCCTATCAACTGCCAAATTTCATTTCAAAGAAATGATAATCTTATGCTCTTAAAAAAAAAACAAACAAACAACGCAAGAATAAAAGTAACAAATAAGGATACTATTTAAGTTAATTTTGATGATCAATTAATACTTAAAAAAAGTCAAGAAATCGAGAATAAGCCCATAAGAGAGGTGACTATATGAATGATACGCAAAGAAAAAGGCGCGAGGGGAATTTGGGATGATGATTAAAATTTTACGTTTTAACAAAACAAGTTTCTCTACCTTATTTGAACGGTTACTATTGTACGCCATCTGTGTACATTCTCATTTAAAGAGTACAAATATTCAAGCAAACTATCAAACTACTACTTGTGTTGAAGTGGTCCACTTTTATTTCTTACTAGGAGGGGATCACCGCGCGATGCGCGGTGGTGGTTTAATGTTGCCCAGAAAATGCCCAGACTTTCAAGTAGAAATATCATAAAGCGTATGAATTGTATTTGAGTAACTTAGCTATAAAATGATTAAGTTTTTAAATAAGTAATGGGATAAGAAAACGTGAGTACATGAAAGTTTGCATCAAACATGGTGTTGAAAAAAAAGGTTATAGAGGAAAAATCGAGGGGAGTAAAATTGGAATTAATTGGCATGGCTTTGTTTGGTGTATAGATGACGAAGTGTTGGCGGAAGTAAATAGAGAGATATTTTCATTGCAATATTGATCCCAACCTTCTTCGAATGAACGATCACCGACTGCAACAGGCCATTTATAAATTCCATGTTTGATAATGATTGTATTGCGCTGGTGCTGATTAAGTAATAGCTTCAATTGAGCAGGCAGAATCTGTTTTTTAGAAGATTAGAAAAGGAAATGTTAAACGAAGATATATAATTGTACTAATCATTGGTAGCATGTATTTTATATTGAGCGAAAGGGAAAAAATAGACCTCTCCTTTGTGAATGCATTTTAGCAGAAAACAACAGGCCATTGAGCCGCTGATTGTTAATCCATAGGTAGATGATGCTTCTGCCATTGATCTGATCAGCGAAGGTGATAAATATAAAGCGTCAAAGATGCAATGATATGCAGGCAAAGTAATGCGGTAAACGTTAGGAATAACTGAGTGAAAGTAGGAAACTTAGCCTGGTGCAGCACTTTGCCTGGGATGCATGCTGTGTTCAGGTAGCACCTATATATAAAGAATGGATGGTTGATAGTTCTGTGGGTAAGATTTTTTGTATATTCAGGCCGGCTCTCATTTTTCACAGCTAAGCGGCTTAATGATTTGGGATATCTGTCCTCTATAAATTTATTGAACCTGAACAAAGGGAAAAGTTGGCTTGCTTAAATTTATTGAAGGTCAAACAGCTATACATGTTAAGGACAATAGGTCTTCGAACCTGAGCTGGTCAGTAGAGTAAGTGCAGGTCATAACGGTAGGTCGATATTTAATAAGATGGTTATGTGTAGGGGAAGACTTGAACAAGTCATGAGAAACGTATCATGAAAAAGCTGATGTCTAACAATTATTACATCCACCAAGAGGTCAATTAATAAACTTAATAGAGTAGATGTCGAATTGAAAGGATACTGTAACAAGTACATAGCAGTTGGAAGGCATCAATTTAGATACATAGTGTCGCTGATTGCAGCTTATCAGCAAAGGTAAAAGGTCCCAGACCAAAAGGGGTTTAAAGGGTATCTCATGGACAAAAAACACATCTTCCATTAATACATTAATGAGCCTTCTAAGAATGCACAAGGAACGTTGCAAAAATATACGATAGCATGTTAGGCAATATCTAAGAGTCAGGTGGATGCAAAACTGAACCGCAACAAGCTAGATTAGTTTTTGCTTCTTGCTAGAGCTGCACTCTGCATTTTCATCCACATCTAGTTCAACGTTCTGGGGTTCATCAAATCTGTCAGAAAGCCGAACACAAATCTTTGACCGATCACTGTCTCCTCCTGCGATAATAAATTTTTTACATGGTTTGCTGTTCATTTGCCGTAAAAGATAAGTATAGGACAGAAATTAGGTACTTGGTATTTACCTGGAGTCCCCAACCGTACATTGTCAACTTCTTTGCCAAGGAAAGAAGAGTCATCTTCTGTTTGACTTGTTAACTGGATAGAAGCAGTTGGATCATCAATTTCAGAGTAGTATATAATTGTGTAACGCTGCCTCGCATCTGCCAGCTGTGTTTGCACAGGTTTGATATGGAGCAGAAACATTTTTGATTTAAGCTCGTTATGGACAAACTCGAGTGGAAGTTCAACATTCTGTTAAGAAAACAGAAAAACAAGAGTAAAAATATATAACGTCTTCAGTATTAGGATTCAGCACGTAGGAACCTGATCAAAATGCTGCATTGCTTCTAGTCCATTAAATGTCAATAGCTTCTCTGCCAATTCGCCAAATACTGAGGCTGGGATCACTCCAGTGCTATCGGTCAAATCGACATCAAAGCGACATCTGAAAATGGGTACACAATATGCAGGAAGATATCTAGTGACAACGACAGCATTAGATAACAACAAACAAAAATCAACATAGGAAAGGTATATTATTTAGCACCTAGGTATTGCAGGATGTTTCTCTTTGCATGAGTTACAGGTAAACACCACTTCATAGTCTGCTGCTGTAGCTCGACAACAGTTTTTGCAACTCATGTACCAATATTTCTGGAAGATGTGGTCAAAAGAGATCTGTGCCTTGACCCACACAGTCTAAAAGTGGAGCAAGCATGAGTATAAAAAAATGATCATAAATGAGAAAAAGTATGAAAGGAGGCCAACACTATCCATTTACAAACCTTTTGTGTTGAGGTTATGTTACAAATCCAAGTTGTTTTTTGGTCTGGCTTCAATGACAGCTGTGGATTATATTTAATATAGTCCATTTTTTCGACAAGCTCTTTAATCAGATTAGTGTTTCTCAACGCCCTGGGTGAAAGGATGCATACAAAATATTAGAACTGGTAGGCAGGACAGTATTTAGATCGAAACTGTGTATAGAATGATGATTGGAAATACACCGTACCAATTCTTGAGCTCTCTTGCTTCTTGTATAGGAGGATCAACCAGAATCGCTGAATCAAACCAAGTACCAAGTGCGACCCCTATACGACGAAAAGAAATGGAGAAAGATTTACAGGTGTTGCAGACGAGCATAAAAGGCTAAGTGCTAAAAATGTAAAGATTAAAATGGGGAACAAACCATTATAGTTATTCACTTTGACCCTCCGAGCAATGATCACAGGATAGCTGTGAAGTTTAGATAGCATTTCTGCTCCCCTCGTTAGTTAGAAAGTTATCCCACAGAGATAAGAGGACTGTCTGTGACCTGCATTTGTGGTAAGAGGTAACAGTCACAGACCGCAAAAATTTACTGCAGAGGAAAAGGAGATGCAGTGCGAAATTATGTCTAAATCAAAGATTAAAGTCGTTACTCTTCATTAAGCAGGGACAAATTTCTGAACATCTGATTGCCTTGAGTTTTTGGTAATTGTTTTCCTCTCGAGCGCACTAATCACGACTCCCAGCACGTCTATGAATAACACAGGGAAGGGGATTATAAAAACCTGGTTCAGAATGTAACATACTAAGAGTAAAGCGTTGAAAGACTCACCGACTGATTTAGTTTTGTCATCCATGTACTGAACTAAATCAGTAAACTTTGAATAGCAGAATTTCACAGCCATGACTGCATCATCATCAGGAATTTCATCAATGACAGTCCTGCTACTGATCACCCACTGAATGGTAAGGTCAGATGTCTGGAACTTTTGTGGTATAGGCCTGACCTCAGCATTGGAGATTTTATACTTTTTATAAACCTGCAAGATCTGGCTCATTCTAGGAATGTCATCATTGAAGATGATTCCTTCAACCCTCGATCCCTATTTAAAGAGGCAAAATTAACGCAGGATTAAGAAAGCAAAAGAGTAGTGTATTTTAATGATCACATCTAAAACAGAGCAGAAGGTTTGACTAACTTCTGAATCATAGAAAACAAACTTCTGCTTTCTTGTAGGGGTTCCCAATGAGTTTGTGACCTGTTGCTTTTCTTGAACAGTGATAATGCAGCTCCAATTTTTCATGTGAGGCATAACATCTCGTATTGGCAGCAAGTTAGCCATCCTATAAACACATAAGTTGTTGAATAAATGAACAGCAACTTAAAGATCCAGGAACATAGTAATCCAAGAATAAAGAATCTGCATGACACCTTCAGTTAGTATAATTCAACAGAGAATGGTCTACTGGTTTGTTAATCTAAAATCTCAGCAAAGACGACATTTCGAGTTTTGCAATCTACTTTTGTGCCATCAAATGTCCCAGGAACAAGTAGAATTTTAACTTTAGCCGCAGTCCTAGCTCTAGACAGAGCGACATACAACTGTCCATGAGAAAAAACTGGTTCTCGTAGATAGATGCCGACGTAGTCAAGAGTTTGACCCTGTGATTTGTTGATGGTCAGAGCGAAGCAAAGTCGGACAGGAAATTGTGTTCGGATGAATGGAATCCCATTTTTGTCATTGTCGGGTGACTGAAGAGGTATCCTTGGAATAAAAAACTCTTTTTCCTCGGTGATGACCAAAAAACAATCTCAGCAGAAATCGTGTGTTGCCCAAGATCTCTACATATTAACCGTGTTCCATTACATAGACCCTCAGCTGGGTTTAAATTCCTTAGAAGCATCAGCGGGCAGTTTTCCTTCAATAGTAACTTATGAGGAGGGAGACCTTTAGGATTTTGAGAATTGAGGAAGTCCTCATAATCACTTTGATGCAGCTGATCAACAGTCTTGTCCGAGCTAATATAAGTTTGAAGGCTCCCAGGAAACCTCCTAATCATTATTTCATTGAGCTCGTCAACCGAGCTATTTTTAGGAGCAAGGATGCACCTATTTATCAGGTTATAAGGATCACGTGCATAGAGGTTCAAATCTGGAAACACGCTCTCTATTAACCTGTGTATAAGAAGATTTGTTTATAATGGAAGTAGAAGGAATGATTATAAAAATGACCAGAATTTGATTGCATGTAACCAGCTAACCTGTTGAGAGATTCCTCTTTATCTAGATATGGAATAACTATATCTGGTGGCAAAGTTATTTCGCCCTGATCATCGACAGGTTCCCTCCCCTCTCCTACACTTAAAAGAAAATGTGAAAATCCCGGATCAAACATAGCCCGCATGTTTTCTGTGAGCCTGAGCTTGTGTAGTTTAGGCCACAGGGGAGAAATGGGGAAGGTTGATTCTATGAGTTGTTCTTTAGTTGCTTGTTCAATGACAGGTAGAGTTTGCCGAAAATCGCCACCAAAAACGACAACTTTTCCTCCAAAAGGCAAATCTGAATCCATTAAATCTTTTAGCAGCTCGTCAAATGCTTCAATTGTTTCCCGCTTAGCCATTGAAGCTTCATCCCACAAAATAAGCGTAGATTCAAAAAGGAGTTTTGCAGCAGAGCTCTGTTTACTAAGCTGACAACTCTTAGTTTTTGAGAAATCAAGTGGTATCTTGAATCTCGAGTGAGCTGTCCGCCCACCAGGAAGGATTGATGCTGCAATTCCAGATGTTGCCACTGCAAGGGCAACATGGTTCTGTGAGCGTAAGGTGGCGAGAAGTGCCCGGTACAGGAAGGTTTTACCGGTGCCACCGGGCCATCGACGAAAAAAGCTTGTTCTTCGAAGGAAAAACATGCTTTTAGGATCACATCGTAGGCATGTTTTTGCTCAAAATTTAACTTCTGAGGCAATAACAAATCCTCGGGCGCTACCGCTAAGCTTCTTTCATTCTCAATCTCCTTTGTTAACCTTTCAGCGTAACCGCATGTGAAGTCACCGGAGACAAAGTGAAAATCAGCAATGTTTTTGCCCATTTGTTCAAGTGAGTTGTTTATATCCTGCAGGACCTTTCTTCTAATTTCAGGAGAAGAAAGGCCATGGGATGGTTGATGATGGTGATAGTCGGCAGAAAGTTCTGGTTCAAATGTTTCCCAAAGTGACCTAGGATCTGCCGGGGAACAATACACAAGAAGAGTGGCAAATAATAATCTCAACGAGGAAGGCATCTGAAACGCTACCGCTTCCTGAAGTGTGTCCTCGATGTATGCATCAGACTGTAGAAGGCCGAGAGCTAGAGCAGCCTCTCTGAATGAGGCAAATCTCTGTTCACTAACAGTCAAAAGGTCTTCAAAAGAAGTCGGTCCAGCAATATGAGTTAGAAGTAACCTCAAATAATACCTTTCTCCTTCTTTTGGACTAACAGTCACCATCCTACCGATCACTTTTCGACGTTTTCGTTCAGTCCACTCTTTATATTTAGCAGACCAAACAAAATGTTCAGGGAAATCTCTATAGAAGCACTTCAGATTTTGTGCTTTTATATTTGTTTTGTTCATGCAGAAAAACTGAGTTAACATTGTTTTAGAAAAATCAACTTTGCTCAGCAGTTGGAACAAGTCAGAATTTTTGACAAAGGAAACAAATTGCTGGTCTGGAAGGTGAACTTGAAGGGTGTAAACTGCTGGAGTCATCTCATTGAGTTTAAATTCATAAATGCGCCAAAAAGCCTCCGGAGGCGAAACCCATCTACCTTTCTGGAAGTCTTTTATTTCATCAGTATCATTGGGTGATTCACAGGAAATAATCTTAAAGCTCACCAGGTCATGCCCTTTGAAAACATACTTATATAAGTATTTCACGAGTTTCAAAGTTGAACAAATTTCCATGTTGATGTGGCAATCAAATAAGGCAAGTAGGTATGGGTTGTAAGGCACAACCCATCTATTATCAAGAGTAAATCTGCGGACCTTGACTCTCTTGCCATCATCTCTCCGTCTATAATATGGATAAGTATCCTCACCATGAGTCGTTTGAGCACAAAAGTTCTTTGGATAGCGATTTTTGCAGATTCCATCTCTCATGCAAGGACAAGATTTATCCATGGCTCCGCAAGGACCATGGATCATATGTTTGACAACAAGGGAATATAAGTGAGGATATCGATCTTTGTCGGGCAACTCAGCACAAACTACTTTGTCGTATGACTCCGGATTAAGCAGCTTGTGACCAGGTTTTAAGATCAATAATAGATGGGCATGAGGAAAGCCTCGCTTTTGAAACTCGATCACATAAACGCATGCTGCAACGTCACCAAAGATTTGTTTATTCAGAAGTTCTGCTTTAAGAAGTTCAAACTTGGCTCTAAAAACTCTAGCTAGAAGGTCTGGCCGATTTTGAGGTTTTTCATGGTATTTCAAGTTTTCTTGAATCTCCTTCCATGCTGGATTACATGTCATAGTTAGGAAGATATCTGGTTTCCCGAACTTTTGGACCAGAGCCATTGCATCAAGGTAGCGACGGCGCATGTCCCTCGGCCACCTATAAAGGAAGCTGGCAAGAAGACCTTACGACCAACCTTAGAAGCAGCAGTTTCACCAATAGAAACACTGTCAAGAACTCCTTGCAGAGCTTCAGAGCGTATTTTGTTTTGGCGATGTCTATGGAAGTCAAGTCTAGATGTTTCTATCTTGACATAACCGTCAACCGAAAACTGCTGTAGCAATCTAAGAGCGTGCAACAACATTGATTCATCATTGTCCCGTATCTGAAATCTATAACAGTAGTACTCCCTAACTGAAACAGTATTGCCTTCTGATTTGCCTTGGTCAGCAGCTATAAAGAAGGAAAATGTTCTGGGCATTATCAGATGATATAAGGCAAGGGATAGGCCTAGTTGCTTATAACAAGGGAGGGATGTACTTGCCTCTCTGTTCCAAATCAATTAACTCCGACGAGGTGTTAACTGAAGTTGGATCGATGTTAAGATCAGCCTCACAGGCGTCCTCTCCTCTTTTCCTTTTGCGAAGTCGCTTAATTCCATGGTGCCAGCCACACTCACCACGAGGGAAAAGGAGAGGGTATTGTAAAGGGTCATAACAGCCATAGTAATGCTGAAGACGATGGCTACCAGCTGAGCGAGAATAAACCTGAATGTGAGCGCGCCTATCGGATGTCTGATCTTCACTCTCAGTCCATATAGCTGCAACTTGCGAGGCAGTGGGAAGATTATAGATTCGCTGGTCTAGCGAAGGATAACAGTTAAGGACAATGTTCAGGCTGTCAATATTTGGAACATCCCTAAGGCTCCTAAAGAACCGGGCATAAGGATTATCAGAAAGAACTCGCATAAGCAATTTCAAAGTGTTTTCTCGCAGCTTATCAGAGTTACCAAGCCTCTTTGCTAATTCCTCATCAGTGTCAAAGAAGTATAACTGGATGCCAGAAGGTTTCTCGCCCAAGTGAATAAGACCATCAGAAAGTGGTAGACTTGGCCTTGGACCCGGAAGGTATAAACACCTTTCGTGTTCTTTGTTAAATCAGTGTCGTACTTGGCAGCAAATGATGTAAAGCCAAGGTTGTTGTTATAAGTACGAACATTGTTTCTGAAGTGGGCACTTTCTTCATCGTTGCCAATGAACAAGCGTTTCAAATCATAAGGCATCGGAGGAGCGACGATAGAGATTTCTCCCCCGAGCAGCAAAAGGTAGGAGGTTCCAAATGGAACCTTTTCGCTCCACAATGCTCACAATCAGGAGCATCAGGCAGAACCAGAGATGCATTAGAAATATTGGCAAGCCGAGATAGGCTTGAACCCGAAGTCGTTCGCTCCATCGCTGTAGTTTTATATTTTGGATACGAGTAAATCAATTAGTTCTGGTCGGGTTTGTAGATAAAGCAGAATCTAGGTTAATGAATGGCCAAGCCGAATCAGAAACTAATGCCAACCTGATGCCTGGTTGGTAACAGTTTCAGGAGCGTTGCGTTTTTTGTTAGAGGACTGACTAAAAGATGGAGTAGCAGAAGGACTAACGTTCCTGCTCCTCATACCCAAACAACCAGATGTTGGTTTGAACCTGGCCGCATCCTTTTTATGAACAGGAAACACGCCTGCATATTGCAGAAGTGATTAAGGCGGATTGCAGATCCGAACAAGCTATCTAAAATTGTCCAAAGTCCCTTAGGGGGAAAGGCGAAGTAAAGGCAAAGGTTCCGAGAAACCAGGCTATAAAGATGATCAGTCATTGTTTATAGCCTGGTTGAAGCAGGTCAGGGATTATACAAAGAAAATGAATACGGCAAGGTAAGGCAGTACCTGTGCAAGGAGGTGGTAAAGTAGAATCTGAAATCCTAGCAGACAAAGAATTACTTTCATAAGCAAGTTCTCTTTGGGGTGATGGTTCAGAGTTCATAAGAGGCGAATTTAAAGAAAAAGAGTCTAGTATAACTTCAGGCTGTTCATTGTCTTGGAAGCGTTCATTTTCAGGTGAAAGGGACAGTGTGCACTTATGTTTTTCTGTAGTTAATTCAGTGCTGAGCTGGAAATCAGTAGAATGAAGGGGGATTTGTTCCGGTTCTGCACCAGAAGACAACCCCTGATATTTTGCTGGGACAAGGCCATTACGGGATGGAAGCTCTGCAGTTACGAACAAAGGCAGATGTAATTTTCAGAGGCAAAAGAGGAATAGTGTCAAGCAAAGGAGACGGATAAGAGTAAGTGGCGCCAAACAGCAGGAGCTAAACGAGCGAAGGAATTGGACGTCAAGCAACGCTGATATACCTTTAGGTGGAGGTGTAATTTGCACAGGTATTTCTCCGGCAAACGAGGAAGAAGAGCTACCATTAAAGGAACCCGGTAGCTGTTCAGACATGAATTCTAATCCTTCTACCATTGTAAATGCATTTTCAGCACGGAACACAGCATCTGTGTTTCCTAACGGCTGAGAATGCACAGAAGCTTGATCCTCAGAACGACATGGCATACGTTGGGTATCTGGGAAAGATACACCAGTTTCGACATAGCCTAATGGAACCTTGCGAACGCGGGGGGTAAAGCATTCCCAGCTTTCTTTGCTGCTTTAGCTTCTCTTCGAGAGCGCAGAAGCGCCGCTTTCTTCAGAGGCGGCATCTCCGCATATCTTTTGCGGCGCATAGCATTTCTATCCATCTAATGACTACACACTTTAGCAGGGGAAAGAAAGACTAACGTACATATCTAATGCACTACCATAGAGCCGACGAAATAAGGGCTAAGGAGGTAAAAGTTAAAGAAAAGCTTGCAGAGTAAATAAACGCCATAACAGAGGTATGAGACAAAGGGCTCTTATTAAAAAGGAACAAAACACAGGAAAGAAAAGCCAAAACACAGGTCTTATATAGAAGAAGAAAAAATGAACAGATAAGCATAAAGCAGGCAAACAGGCGAGCAAACCATCTAGCATTTTAAAAATGCAACATTTTAAAGCCACTACAGGGCAGACAAAACCAGCAGGATGGAGGGAAATGCTCAAGCAAACCCTGTGACATTCTAGAATGGTGTAGCATGGACCAAAGTGCTCATTAGGAAGAAGCAAGGTGACAGGCAAAGTAAAAAGGCTAAGCATATGCAGAAGGGAGAACAAGCGATGTCACCTTAACCTTAGATACGCAGAACAAGCCTTTATCAGCCAACAGAAGAGCAGCAGAAAAGAGGGCAGGACCGGCTACTGTGTCAAACAAAACAACGAGAGGGGAAAAAATTAAGAGGATACAATGATTAAAGAGGTAATCAGCTATAGCACGTAATAGAGAAGGAAAGTGGAAAAGGTATCAGGGGCAAAAAGCATAAAACAGAAAGCGCGGAAAGCTAACCCGCACGAACTAAGAAGCGCAGAGTAGAAGCTAAAACAAAAAACAAATAGGTTGCAAGAACCATTGACAGGAGGGAAATGGAACACAGAGGTAAAAAGATGCGCACAGTAATTCAAAGCTAAACAAAGCAACAGAAGGAGAAAAATGGGGCGTAAAGCAAAGGAAATAGCCAAGGCAACAGCAAGAGCTCAACAGGGCATAAAATTTAGGGGAAAAATTCAAATAAACATGACAATCCCAAGCAACAAACTAACCAGGAGCCAAAATGTAACAGTAACAGGGGAAGTAAATCCGAAACAAGAACGCAGCAAGACAAGCTCCGGCAGAGGGAACAAGGGAAACGAAAGAAACGAGCTAACAACACAGTAGGTAGAAGCAAACGTATGGAAAGAAAGAAAAGACTAGCGGAAAAGGCACAGTTACCGTGGAGCATGATGGTGATGGCTGGAGGAGGCGGCCGCAGGAACATAGGAGCCTCTGCATAGATCGGAGAAACAAAGGTTTTTAGTCTTTTCAATCAAAGGAAAGAGGAAAAAGTCGGTTCTTGGCAGATCTCTAAACCAGAGGTGAAATTTCTTCTCAATAAAGGACACAGTCAAGCAATAAGATCAGCAACAAACAACGCTGCATTTGTTTTCAAATACAAGGGCAAAATCGTGAAATCATGCAAACCCACATTGAGGCCACCAGCCAACAGTTGTCATCAATCAACCCAGCAGCAACCGCCATAAGCTTACTCAGCAGGTCAGGCGGTCTTCATCTTGGTCTATCGGACAAAAAACAGGAGCTGTACTTCTTCTTCCAGCGGAGAAAAGCAACAATCCGAAGCCCCCTCCCAGTCAATCAACCCAGCAGCAACCGCCATAAGCTTACTCAGCAGGTCAGGTGGTCTTCATCTTGGGCTATCGGACAAAAAGCAGGAGCTGTACTTCTTCTTCCAGCGGAGAAAAGCAACAATCCGAAGCCCCCTCCCAGTCAATCAACCCAGCAGCAACCGCCATAAGCTTACTCAGCAGGTCAGGTGGTCTTCATCTTGGTCTATCGGACAAAAAGCAGAAGCTGTACTTCTTCTTCCAGAGGAGAGGAGAAGAAAAGTAACAATCTGAAGCCCCCTCCCAGTGGAAGCACGCGAGCACCACGTGATGGACGAAGACGACCCCCCAGCGAATGAAATGCAGCCACATCAGCACAACCACCGAACCCTTTCGCGCTTTTACTATATAGGTTGATAAACACCCTGTACAAGTCATTTAGATGAATAATAGATTGGGGTTATTATCACTTTACCCCCTTAACATTCGGTGTCACTATCAATTTTCCCCTTAACGTTATCTTTTAGTCACTTTATCCTCAAGACTAATGGTCAAACTTAACAGAGTTTGTTAATTAAAGTAAAAAAACAAGTTTAGCCCTTAAAGCTATTATCATTTTACCCTCATAAACTATAGTCTCATTATCAATTTACCCCATAGAGTTATTTTTTAGGCAATTTATCGCATCATTAAACCAATTTAACAAGTTAAAAAGTTCTTTAGAAGAAAGTACCCTCCTCTTTGTATAATAAAAATAATAAAAAAATTTAAAGTGACTCTTCTCCTCTTTAGTATCAAGAAAAAAAGTCAAAATATTAATTTCTTTCTTCTTGACAATCTTATTAATATTAAAAAAATAGAAAGATCGGAAGGGGGAGGGAGAGGGGGAGAGAGAGATAGAGAGAGAGAGCTCAATTCTTTTTTAGAAAATACAAATAAGAAAGAATTAAATACTTCATTATTTTAAAATTATTTCACTTTACTGTTTACCACTAGATTTCAATCATAATCCCAACAATCTTAAATTAATATGATAATGTTAGAATTTTTTTTTTCTTTGCAAATCTAACTTTCTGTCTTCTTCTTTCCTATTTCTTTTTCTTTTCATAGTATTAATAAGTGTGGAAAAAGAAATTTGAGAAAATCCTTTTATTTTTATATTTTTGGATCTCTTAAAGAGAAAAAAAAGAAGAATAATCATTCTAAATCTTATATTTTTAATTATATATATAAGGGTAAATATATTTAAAATTTTTTGACCATATTTGTTAGATTAACGATGAAGTAAAATGTCAAGAAAATAATGTTAATAATTAAATCGATTATATCACTACAATTTAAAGGAATAAAGTAATAATAACAGTGTAGTAATGCTATAGAATAAAAGGGTATTTTTGTCCAAAATTTCTTAACATGTTGAGTTGAATTACTTATGGGGATGAAATGACTAAAAGATAACGTTAGGGGTAAACTGATAGTAATGATATAATTTAAGGGGATAAAGTGATAATAACCCTAATAGATTACAACGAGCTAGTTTCCAAGGAAATAGATAACCAATTAAGAGGCTTTTTGATTATTTAGTACTTCAACGTTATCCATAAACAAAAGTAGTTATATATTCATTTTACTTCTCAAAAATTTAATGGCGGCATAACTTAAATTACATTAAAAATAGGACTAATAAGAGAATTTGTATAGGGGTAGTGGGCCCTCTTGACAATTTGCAGCTCTTAATTTACACTAATCCTAATTGTCTTCCTTTATTAATACCAAGACTTTCCTCAATCTAAATTCTCCTTTGTCCCTCTAATTTTCCTCTTCTTGTAAACAGAACATCTTCCTCCTTGTGAGGGAGACCAATTGGTTTTCTTTCTTTCTTCTTTTGGGATCTAATATAGTCTCCTAGGGTTTCTTAGAGACAGTTTATTCTCTCCTTAGTTGATTTAGTGAGAGTTTTTTCTATCATAGTTTACTATGAGAATTTTCTTCTTTAGGTTTTTCATTTCCTTTGTCATATCTTAATTTTTTAGATTTAGTTGTCAAATTTAGGATTCTTTAGGTCCATTTCATCACAACTCACCATAATATTGAGCTTAAAGAAGTAAATTAATAGATTTGATGGTTTGAAATATGCATAGATGTTCTTGGGACCGCATGTGAACATATCTAACTTTTAAGTATTTCTGGAGCTTCACAGCGTAATTTCATTAATATTTTAATTTGTAGTGTCTATTTTTCAAATCTATTGTATCTTAGTGTGTCTAAATAATTTACGCCATTAGAGCATATTTAATGTAATTCTGATGTTTATTTTAAAAAAAAATACACTATTTTTCACTACTTTAGCTGCACTATGCATATGATTTTCAAGTATACATCTTTGCACATATTATTTATCTATTATATAAAGATAATTCATGTACTCTATAAAGACTATAAAAGAGTGATATTTTCCAATTGAATGCTCTTTCTTTTTTATGATGTACAGATTTGTAAAAGCATCCTGCTTTGATAGCTACATGAACTCTTAATAGTAGGCGATGCTACTTTGGTCCAATGCTCATGGCTAACTAGGAGAATCACATTTGAGCATAGTTAGTAAACTTAACTTAGCTCAGTAGTCAACCCATCATCTAGCCTAGTCTAGTTAGTATATGGTTGGACCGGATAAGAAAGGAATTCATTACAACTCAGCTGACCCTTCACCTAGCCGAGTTGGATTAGCAATCGGATAGGATAACAAAGAAAGTCATTGACTAGTCTACGATCTTGTTGGTTCAACTAGTAATATCTCAAAAACCGTTCAACAACTAATTAAATAATTATATTAATTTTATTGGGCAACTGGGAGAGGGTAAGAAATAGGAAGGGGAAGGGCTGTAGGTGGTGGTGAAGGGGAGAGATGGGAAGAGGGGACAGAGAGGGGGGGGTAAATAAGAAGGCTTAGAGATGAAAACAAAATTTCATAAATTGCTGCTTTTTAATCCCTGCTTAATTTGTATTTCACTTAGTTTATATATATTTTTTGTTTTGGATTTAAAGAAGTTCTCAATCAGTCCCTACCATCTCACAAATTGGTATCTTTAAAGTTGATCACATGTGGTCAATTGGCTGTGTCAGGCCAAAAGATAATTGGAATTAGAAGTTTGGACCAAATTAAACCAATTTGCAGTTGTAAGAGTTGTGAAATCAGCATTTCAAATGTCAGGAAAACAAAAATTCTTTTGCCAAAATGTGAGAATGTTTTCTGCATTTGTCCCTTTCTATATTGCTAATTCACCTTTCAAACAATATAAAAGTCTTACCTTTGACATATTTTCTTGAGGATATTGTAGCTTTTAGCAGCTCCCAACTTTCCTCTTCATTCAAGCACTTGATCTCGTAGGGATATCCAATTTCTGCAACTTCTTTTGTGCGAGTTGTGAGCATCATTTTGCTGCCCCCTTCAACATCCGGAAATGCATGAACTAGATTCTCCCAATCATGCATATACCAAATGTCATCAAGAGTAATTAGGCACTTATACTCCGTTTGCACTCGATAAAGTTCTCGAACCAACTCCCTGTCTTCGATATTCTTGATCTCCTCCTCCTTCTCAGGACAAAGTTGCATCAAGATATCCTGCATAATACATCTAATTTGGGCCTGTTAAGTTATACAAACCCAAGTAAAATGTTTGAAAGCGGTGTTGAACATCTCTATGCCTGTATATTTTCTAGCAATGGTCCTTTCCAAGACCTCCCATGCCCCATACGGAGATTATAGCATGGTGCTTGCTGTCGTCAACCATGAGTGACACCAATTACCTGATGTCTTCTTCTTTCCCAACAAAATATTCCTCAACCTCATGGGCATAAGTTTGTCTTGCCCACTTGAGATTGTCATTTGTAGTTGCACCTGAGCTTTCTGCTTCGCTCATAGCTCTTACATCATATCCGCGAAAACTTGTAATGAGATTATTTATGTCAGTTTTAAGTTTTCCAATCTCCAACCCAAGAAAATGGCGAGATCTGCCCTCTGCAAAGATAGAACCAAATGTTGTCAATATCACTTTTCCCCGATTACCTGCGACTTCAATTGCAAACATCTCAACAGTATCTTCAATTCTATAAGCAAGGCTTCTGACCTCCCTCAACCAATTGCGAACAACTTCATCTTTATATTCTCTTGCATCAGCATCTCTTAGGAAGCATTGCACATGCTTTAGCTCTCTGCTTATTTCTTTGACCTGATCTGTGACTCCCGACAAGAATTTGGCTTCTTCAATCAATAAACGACCAAGTATTTGCAACACACTGCCAACAATAGCTTCAACCATTTTTTTTTTCTTTGTTTTTTAGGCTGACAGGAATCGCCAAAAGCTTCAAAGGACTTGGATGATCCTTGAGCAACCCTACTGAGAAAAACAATATTAATAGATCAGACAGACATGAATTGTTGATTTTTTATCATTGGATTTGAGTAGTAAAGGATCAAGTGGGGTGGTGGAACCTCTACTGCTCACTAACGGACAAGGATTGGTTGAGTAGACATTGCATGGTACAGAAGAACTAGACTCCTCTTTTATTTAATCGGAGATAACTTGCATCATAACACCTTGATAAATGAAATTTTGAGATCCTATTTGAAAATTAAAGCAGTTCATATGATGCTTTCATTAAGTTTAAGAGCGAAATAATTGGGACCAAGTGGACTAAGTTTTGCCGCCTAATTACTCATCATTAAATTTGTCATGATTCTAACCTATTTTTCATTGTCCAATTTGTTTCGTGCAAATTATATTATCAGATGATTTAACTTTTTCAGTGAGTTGAACTACACAAACAATACTATATCCAAATGACTTATAAAAACTTTGATTTCTTACAATAAGCAAATGAGTACATAGCTAGAGAGAAAAGTAACATAAATAATTAAGCTCAGGTATACGAGCATATGGGTTCCCCCATTTTGGACCGTTACATTATCAAATAAGAAGTGGGATGTGGCCATTTTGTACTTTTCAGGGTTCATAGCAGAATAAACATATACATACACATACACATAAATATACGAGTAAATCTTATATACACTAATAATATATATACTATCACTGTTATATCCATGATACATGTATAAAAATTGAATTTTAAATTCAAAATTTTTAACTTTTGCACGATTGTCATCCACCCAAACCTAATAGCGTATACATTGTAAGTGTAAAAAAGATTAATTCTAAATATATTTCTATTTATGTAAATGTATACAAGTAATTGCAAGAATTTGAGGCAAAATCCCTCTCCACTATTACCACGTTGTTCTACTCTAATCTTACAAATCAAAGGTCAACTGACTCAATTAATCCTTGACCATAGTGAGACCTTTTTCGATCTTAGGCGAACGAGGGTTGCCAGCTCTGCTGCCTCACAAGGCACTACTGTTGAGCTCTTTGTGTTTGCTGCTTTCTCAACTGAAAATGGAAACTGTCAAGACTTGCATGGTGAACAATTCCATCTATCATTCTTGTCATTTCTCAAATCATAAATCATATATAAGTTTCTAATTATTGCATTCAGTCATTGTTCCATGATCCAACATGCTTCTAATTAAGTGATTTCAAACCTTCGTACTTCCCTCTGTCATCCTCACCCTTCTGACCATATATATATATATATATATATATATATATATATATATATATATATATAACCACTTGTGAAATCATTAAAATGAGAAAAAAAATTATTGGAATCAATCTTGTAAGGTGTCACCTATCTTACAATGTAAAATTTTCTAGGAAAAAGTCTAGTCTTCAAATCCTTAACCATTATTAAGCTGTGGACGTTCCACCAACCAACTTGAATTCTCCTTCACTAGTCAACCAGTGACGGAGCCAGGATTTTTTTTTTTGGGGGGCCAAAATTGAAATTCCATTCAAAGATGACTAATTCATATATATATATATATATATATATATATATATATATATATATATATATATATATATATATTAACTCTCATAATATAAACTAAAATTGAAAAAATTTAGGGGGGGCCAATTTTATTTTACACACATATTTACATATTATGAATTAAAATTCTCAAAACTTAGGGGGGGCCATGGCCCCCCTCTGCCCCCCTTGGCTCCGTCATTGTAGTCAACTCCATTAATAAAAACTAGTAATTCATGATTGACATCGATGTGAATTATTATCATCCAAGTCCTTCGAGAAGTTTTTGGTGGCTCCTTATAGCCAAAAGAGGCTGAAACTATTGTCTCTACTAGTGTTGCAAAGGCTCCGCGGTTTGTTACGCTATGCTAACTGAGAATTATGCAATTTTTTTTTAAGTGTCAGTTTATTGGATCAAAAGGTCTCATAGCCTTATAAAACTAACCATTTTTATTATATATTTCTGATCCTCATTAATATTCTACTTTTGAAATTTATCTCTTTCCCGTCACTTAAATTTCACATATATATTCATAGTTTTTGGCTTAATCATATTTCCCGTTTGCATTTATTGGTAATTGTCTCTTCACTTGAAACTAAATCTTCGCCTGTTTTCTGCGGCTTATAATTCAACATCTACAGTAATTTAATTAGAAGATTCTGAACTGTACTTATAGTAACACAAGGCAAACTGCTTGGACAACATAGGAGACAATAGCTCAGTCACCTTCATTAGAGATCGTGTAGCATTGGACGGTTCGAGATCGGTGGTCCACAGCTTAATAATGTCTAAGGATAGGTTAACTAGACTTTGTGTGAGAGATGAGGAAGGACTCAGATTAGTTACAGTAGTTTTCATACCCAACTTCATCTGGTATTGTATTTGCTTTAGTATGTGATATGCAATCATAACCAAGTTCGCCAAATTGATAAGAACGGATCACTTTCTGGCAAAAGATCGTGTATTTCAATCGGCTATCGATGTAAGGGTTGCGTTAGTGAGTGATCTGTAAGAATATCTATAAACGATATATTATCCTGAAGGCATGCACTGACTCGTGATAGCAACCGTGCCAAATGCACCCAAACTTTTACTTATAAAAAAAACCGTAGCAATGAAAAGTCTAGCCAACCAATCCACATCTGTTATCCGGAGCTCCCATAACCCCACTTGAACCATCATTCAATACTACAATCCAATGATGCTAATCAATAGTTCATGGGAAAAAAAAAAGAGAGAAAAATCTCAACTGTTCATAGTCATTCAATTTCGTGGAAGCTTTTTTACGTGGAAAAAAAAAAACGCAAAAATGGCTAAAATGACTGAAGCTATTATCTCTGATGTTGTGTAAACACTTAGTTGATTTTATCACATGCTAACTTAGGTTCAATCCAAATCATTTTGTTTTTTAGCCAATTCAATTTAAAATGATTTAATTGCATTTAAGAAACTAATCCTCTTTATTTTATATCTCTCTAACACTTATAATATGTCTGTTTTCGAACTTTCTCTTCTTTATTAAGCATTATGCACGCTATAATCCAAGTGGACGGCTCAATTAATCATATTCTCTGTATGCTTTGATCACTGTTCAGGACTTCCTCACCATATCATATTGCTAGGATTCCTTTATCTACTTCTTGTGCTTCCAAATATACATCTAGATAGGTTTTAATTTTTAACTAAGCTGAGTTTTCAACTCAAGACTGAAGCTTTACCAATTGATGAATTAAATTTTAGCAAAATGCCCAAAAAAGGAAGGGGATGCATCTCCTGTTTGGTAATGTTGCAGTAGATAAATAAATTCAATATACTAATTTTATAGCGTAATGGAACCAATGTTGAATAAGAGATTTTTAATATTAAAAAATATACAAAACCGAAAGATTTGATAAATGAAAGTGAAAAACTAGATATCTCATCTTTGATTTCCCTTTTAACAAGGAAACATCATGCTCGATTTTATCTAATGTATCCCAAAAAAAAAAAACAAATTCACATTTGATTTTTTTATAGAACAAAATAAATTTTTAGTAATGAAACAACTTCACATTTGATAAAAGCTCTCAAAAATCAAAATCATGCTACCAGTAACAGTTGCCAAGTTGGTATCTAAGGTGGACATCTAAAAAGGAGACCTTGGCAGAGGCTCTTTCCAAAAGGTCGAGCTAATTCAATATACAAATTGGGCCCGCAACCAACCTGTGGCAGCCCCTCGCCACTCATCACAAGCGGCCAGTGGCTGTAAGAGAGGCTGCGACTAGGGATGGCAATGGAGCGGGGTTGGAGAGGAGAACATCTCCCATAATCGCAGCCCAGTTGTATTTTAATTTCCCTGCCCCCGTCCTGTCCCCCACCCCCGGCTTCCCCTACCCCCCCCCCCGCTTCCCCGCGGGGCACCTTGGGGTTAAAAAAATTGTATTATATAATTTCATTATAATTAAATTTGAGCAAATAATCAAGTACTAAAATATCAATACATTACCAAATTATTATTCATTGTAATTTCACAATTGAAACTCATAAAAATAGTTAAAAAAAAGTTTATTTGAATACAATCTAATATGATAAAACAAATATAACTAAAATAATCAAGCTTTCACTTTTGATATAAATACAATCACTAAATTATTATTGTTTTTTTTCAGAAAAAAGTGCTATTGTATTAAGTGTAGTTAGAAATTTAACATAAATAATTAATAATTTTTATTAATAGACATGTATAATTAGTAATATAATTGATAATATCATTATATATATATATAATTATGTATATATATATATATATATTTTTTTTTCAAAGGGGTGGCGGGGCGGGGGAGTATACTCCCCCTCCCGCCCTGTTTCTAA